TCGTGAGCACAGCCGTAAGTTTGAACAGTGACTGTGTTCAGGCTGCTCATGTGAACACTAATACCATTGTGAGACCTGGCTTGTAAACCCTTGCCATAACAGGCTTAGGAATGGGGTTTGGGTGTCTTCTGTACACCACATGGCAGGCCTGGTGCTCTGTTTGTTTAGGCCTGAAGCATGTTCAATCAGAATTATAGCACAGACATTTTGCCAATGTATATACAGTGGGGAGAACAAGTATTTGATACACTGCCGATTTTGCAGGTTTTCCTACTTACAAAGCATGTAGAGGTCTGTAATATTTATCATAGGTACACTTAAACCGCGAGAGACAGAATCTAAAACAAAAATCCAGAAAATCACATTGTATGATTTTTAAGTAATTAATTTGCATTTTATTGCATGACATAAGTATTTGATACATCAGAAAAGCAGAACTTAATATTTGGTACAGAAACCTTTGTTTTGCAATTACAGAGATCATACGTTTCCTGTAGGTCTTGACCAGGTTTGCACACACTGCAGCAGGGATTTTGGTCCACTCCTCCATACAGACCTTCTCCAGATCCTTCAGGTTTCGGGGCTGTCGCTGGGCAATACAGACTTTCTGCTCCCTCCAAAGATTTTCTATTGGGTTCAGGTCTGGAGACTGGCTAGGCCACTCCAGGAACTTGAGATGCTTCTTACGGAGACACTCCTTAGTTGCCCTGGCTGTGTGTTTCGGGTCGTTGTCATGCTGGAAGACCCAGCCACGACCCATCTTCAATGCTCTTACTGAGGGAAGGAGGTTGTTGGCCAAGATCTCGCGACACATGGCCCCATCCATCCTCCCCTCAATACGGTGCAGTTGTCCTGTCCCCTTTGCAGAAAAACATCCCCAAAGAATGATGTTTCCACCTCCATGCTTCACGGTTGGGATGGTGTTCTTGGGGTTGTACTCATCCTTCTTCTTCCTCCAAACACGGCGAGTGGAGTTTAGACCAAAAAGCTCTATTTTTGTCTCATCAGACCACATGACCTTCTCCCATTCCTCCTCTGGATCATCCAGATGGTCATTGGCAAACTTCAGACGGGCCTGGACATGCGCTGGCTTGAGCAGGGGGACCTTGCGTGCGCTGCAGGATTTTAATCCATGACGGCGTAGTGTGTTACTAATGGTTTTCTTTGAGACTGTGGTCCCAGCTCTCTTCAGGTCATTGACCAGGTCCTGCCGTGTAGTTCTGGGCTGATCCCTCACCTTCCTCATGATCATTGATGCCCCACAAGGTGAGATCTTGCATGGAGCCCCAGACCGAGGGTGATTGACCGTCATCTTGAACTTCTTCCATTTTCTAATAATTGCGCCAACAGTTGTTGCCTTCTCACCAAGCTGCTTGCCTATTGTCCTGTAGCCCTTCCCAGCCTTGTGCAGGTCTACAATTGTATCCCTGATGTCCTTACACAGCTCTCTGGTCTTGGCCATTGTGGAGAGGTTGGCGTCTGTTTGATTGAGTGTGTGGACAGGTGTCTTTTATACAGGTAACGAGTTCAAACAGGTGCAGTTAATACAGGTAATGAGTGGAGAACAGTAGGGCTTCTTAAAGAAAAACTAACAGGTCTGTGAGAGCCGGAATTCTTACTGGTTGGTAGGTGATCAAATACTTATGTCATACAATAAAATGCAAATTAATTACAAAAAAATCATACAATGTGATTTTCTGGATTTTTGTTTTAGATTCCGTCTCTCACTGTTGAAGTGTACCTATGATAAATATTACAGACCTCTACATGCTTTGTAAGTAGGAAAACCTGCAAAATCGGCAGTGTATCAAATACTTGTTCTCCCCACTGTATGTATTGTCTGTGGTGTCATTTTGCTTTAAAACAAAGTCTGCAATTCTTCACAGAAATTGTTTAAGATGAGTGCTGTTTAGAAAAATACACTTTACTGATCCATATCCACCCTGGCTTTTAATTACTTGTATGTAGATTTACTGTTGTTTACTTTATTGTTGCTGAAGCAACTAAGCTGTTTAACATATTTGTTCTGTCTGTGTAGTGTTGTGGATGGGAGGGTGGCAGTACAGTACATATGAAGCATGGTCAATGTAGCATCTGCAGTTGTTTCATGGGTGTAAAGGACCGGTTCGCTGCTCTGCTGCACAAATAGCTGTATCATTTAGTCAATGTTACAATGACATTTTTTATGTTACAATGACGTTTTATATGTAAAAACAATGATTGTTTCACTCAATATCTGTAACAAAAAGTCTGTAACAAAAAACTCAAAAATATATATTGACATTGCAGTATTTAGTGCTCTGCCTGTATCCTGTGGACAAACTAATGTTATTTGTCTAAGTTGGAATTCAGTCGTGCTTTTGTCATGTGTCAAGACCTACAGTCGAGGTAGTTTCTCTGACTGTGTTTACACAGGCAGCCCAATTCTGATATTTTTTCCCACTAATTGGTCTTTTGACCAATCACATCAAAAATATTTTCACATCGGCTCTTTTTCAGAGCTGATCTGATTGGTCAAAAAGGCCAATTAGTGAAAAAAAGATCAGAATTGGCTGCCTGTCTAAACGCAGCCTCAGAAGAACTGATCAGTCTGATCAATGTTTGACAACTGTTTAAGATGACGTGTGGAATTGTTTTGCTTCTATAAGACCATCAGTCATTCCAAAGAAAATTGACTATTTGTGTAATTTCTGGTCAAATATCTTTTGAAGGTTGTGTATGACACAATAGGACGTTTTGCCTGCTCTGGGAATGTGATATTACTTTCACAAAGAAGGTTTAATGTTGGAAGATTTCATCCTCCAATCATTTAGCATCATTCTTTCTGTTGACAAGAGTAACTATTTAGTGTTGTGAATTCAGATATGGGTCTCTTATGTCATTATGATGTGTCATTGCATTGTCTTTCCGTCTTACTCTATTTATCATAAATATGTGACAACAGTGAGTCAATAAACAACTTTTCATTGAACATTAGATTTTTCTGAGTAGTTTAATATTAAATCATTTTTATCAAATGTAATTGCCATGACAGATTATGATAGAATTAGGGCATGATTTGATCTTCCTGAATGAGAGCATTTTTGGTAGTTTACCTGAAATGACAGTTTATTGTGTATGTCATCTATTTATCCCCTGCAATGATTCATAATTGTACTGTGGTTCAGAAGGCATTACAGCTAACTTGACAATTATAGCAGATTTGTCCGTTAACTGGAGGAAGTAAGCCATGTCACCTTGGCTGTTTGCAGCACTACTCAGATGAGTCAGCCACTCCTGAATGTGCTGTGCTTGGGTTTAACTGATTCTCCATTATATTCTACAGCACTGTGACTGAGAACATGGACAGTCATATCGTGTCAGTTAGATGTGGCTTTTTTTTAGACATTTCAGAACTCAGGCTTGATTTTCTCAATGGTGAAATGACTTACTGAGAAAAGTGTTAATGTGCTCAAACAAATTGATTTGCATGTTCTGCAGAGTTGAGTGAAAACTGTGTCATAAAACCACTTACAGTAGGACCCATACTTTATAAACTCCACTGCTCTCTCTTGGGTGAATACTTTATAAACTCCCCAGTTCCAGTCACACACTGCAGGGTAGGACAGGAGTTTCCCCCGCAGGGCAGGACAGGAGTGAATATCCAACTAGGTAAGGCCTATCTCAACAACTGACTGTAAACTTCCTACATTCAGATAATTGGTCAATTAATATCCCAGCAACGTAAAGCTGATCAGCCCAATCTAACATTTCAAACATTAGTGTGGATATGTTGAGACTTTTTTCGTTTGTTTAACACATTTGTCTTGATGATGAAGTATTGCAATATGTTAAGTGTGAAAATGACAACCATCATAATGACATTTCTAGTTGCCACTCATGGGATGCGTCCTAAATGGCACCCTATTTCTTACTTAGGCTGCATTTAGACAGGCAGACCAATTCAGATTTTTCCCCCCCACTAATTGGTCTTTTGACCAATCAGATCAGCTGTGAAAAAGATCTGATGTGATTGGTCAATAGACCAATAAGTGGAAAGAATATCAGAATTGGGCTGCCAGTGTAAACGCAGCCATAGTGAACTACTTTTGACCAGAGCCCTGGTCAAAAGAAGTGCACTATATAGGGAATAGGGTGCCATTTGGGATGATTCCCTTGTCTGTACACAGTGTTATAGTGGAGGGAAATTCTACTGGCCAGACAGTCCTGCTAAGGGTCACACAGGTTCAATGGGCAAGAGGGGAAAGCAGTGAGGCAACACTGCTGTTCATTGGTCTGTTTCGTGAGGAGGGTATTACCAGGGGGTTCATATTGGGCCTGTCCCAAATGGAAACCTATTCCATACATGATCCACTACTATTGACCAGAGCCCGCACATAGAGCTCTGGTCAAAAGTGGTGAACTTCATCCCAAATGGAACCCTATTCCTTATGGAGAGAAATTATGTTCCTATTTGACTAATTCCTAATTCATTTGTTTTGTGTCCCAAACACATCATACAGTTTTGGGGTGCTTGAATGGAAATGGTAAGGTACTGTCTGTATGATCATAAAATACATATTGTTCTTTATCTTGTAAAAGGTATGAGGAAAAAATACTTCACTATCAAAGAACAATATACATTTTGTATCACCTGTGAGACTCTGACTTCTTTAACACATCACATATCAGACATTGATTTTAGTCTTGACTGTTGGCCTGTGTGTGATTTCCTCTTGGATCAAACCACGTCTGATGCCTTCTAGCCATTGACCCATGCTGTGTGTTTGTAAAGCAAGTCTCTAGCCCCGAGCGAAAGCTTGCTTTTGTCTGTCCTCACAAGACAAATCTCTTTGCTTGGCGGACCGGAGAGGCTCAGGTTGACTCCAACCCATTCAGAAAACAGAAACTGGAGTGAGTGGAAGCAGGTGCTGATGTTAGTCTAGACCACAGAGGTGGCAGTTTTTCATGCATTGCTGATTTCTGACAGACCATAAATTGAATTGCACAGACTGCACAAAAAAAAGGGGGCTGTTGTAAGCAGATTTATTTTCCTGGCAGACAAACGGTTCACAAGAAAAATAAAAACATAAAAGGGTGAGGTAGAAAAGAAAGTGAGTGAGGGCTGTGGTCGGCTAACACAGGAGCATCATAATCACATGGTGTGGATTTCCGCTTTGGCACATTTACTTTAAGCTGCACAGCAGGGGCAGGGACACACACCACATATACAACACATTCAGAGTTACTGGACTGTACTAGCTGGACCAGAGCTACACTATGGTGCTGTGAAGAGAGAGAGAGCTCCACTCAACCATGCAATCCACCACGAACTTCAATGGGCTCCTGCGACAGGGCAGCCAGGACAGTTACATTATGGAGGGCTCTCTGAGGAAGAAGGGTCGTCTATGGTATCGGCGCTCTCTGAAGGGACACCATGACAAACCCAGTCAGAATGGGGGGACTAGTCCCGGGACTCTGCCAAGAGGCTGGAAACAGGTAAGCGAGAAACCTTGGAGAGAAACAGGAAAGAGTTACGTTTTACTGTATATCAATTGTCATGTAATCTATAAGTATTCTTAGAGGTCATTGATAGTAGAGATGACAAAACTGTTTCAGCGTGGCATCAGAGAGGTACACATTAACATGTACTGTACAACCACAACAAAACAGACAACTTGGTACACATTAACATGTACTGTACAACCACAACAAAACAGACAACTTGGTACACATTAACATGTACTGTACAACCACAACAAAACAGACAACTTGGTACACATTAACATGTACTGTACAACCACAACAAAACAGACAACTTGGTACACATTAACATGTACTGTACAACCACAACAAAACAGACAACTTGGTACACATTAACATGTACTGTACAACCACAACAAAACAGACAACTTGGTACACATTAACATGTACTGTACAACCACAACAAAACAGACAACTTGCAAAGACAAAAAGCCTTTTGACAAATTGTAATCTTTTGGTTTACGTTGGAGACAAACTAGTTCACTAGCAGGAAAAATACCTGGAAACTTAGTGTGTTGTGTTGTAATTTATATGTTTACGATGAAAATTACCAAGAATGTAAAGAGACTGGTGTCCATCTCGTATATTTTACATGGAATTAAATAAATATTTGCTGAACTGTGACCAGGTTGAGATTCCAAGAATAGCTATTTTCACTGTTGTATTTAAAAAATATATACTATACAAATATATTAAATATACATTTTACTTTCCAGTCCAACAGAACCCGCTCAAACTCCTTGGTGGATTACTCTGACCCTCAGAGGTAAATACAGCCCTCTGTCATTCGGAATAACATTTACACTGTTAACACTATGATACATACACAATTGTTCTTAATGACCCAAGTTATGACCAGTCTGTAACCACATTTCTCCTGAACATATAGGACTACTGTTATAATGCAAAAGCAAGACAATGAGACGTTTGGATTTGAAATTCAGGTACGACATTTAATCCGTTTTCAAATTAAATTCTGTTTAGAATTTATTTTAAAAAATACATTCTCAAAAACATGCTTTAACTGCGCTGTCAGTCCTGCCCAGTGACAGTGTGACCTCCTGTTGTAGACATATGGTGTGCAGCTGAAGAACAGCACGGCGGTGGAGATGTGCACATTTGTGTACAAGGTGCAGGACGACAGCTCGGCTGAGAGTGCAGGCCTGACCGCCGGTGAGACACCCACTCACTTCCTCTCCCTATGGCCCAGACTCAGCTTCAACGCTGTGCAGTATGGTTTTCCCACAGAGAGATTTCCTCGTTACACTCATTACAATACATCTAACTTTCACATATAGAAAGGCCAACAAGTCAAGGTCTAACTTCTCACATTCTCTGTCTCTCTCTAGCTCTCCCACAAACACGATTTTATCTCGGCACATTTATTGTGGTCGACGTTTTCGTACAATACTTTTTAGAGAAATTATAATTCTACAATGCTGATTTTGGGTCAGTCAAACTCCCAGCACCACAGATGAGAATAAGCTTGGTTGTGTGCGTGTTAACCCTTTGAACATATCTCCCACACTCTCTCATTCTCTCTCATTCTCTTTCTCTCTATCTTCCTCTCGCTGTTGTTGTGCATGTAGGTGACGTTATCGTCACCATCAATGGGGTCAGCATTGAGGGCACGAGCCACCAGCACATCGTTGACCTGATTCGAGAATCCACCAACTTATTACAGTGAGTAAAACCAGCGATGACACCCAAAACCAAAGGGTTACTGTCTAACTCTGAAGAATGTGAGAAAAACATTGAACATAGAAGCATTTTTATAAAACCTTGATATTGGTTTCAACCTTGGTATAGTATACTGAATCGCTCCCTCTAGGAAACATAAAGCTGTTCTATTCTATAGAAGTGTCAGTATTATCTGTAGGATGTGTATGTCTGCTTGTGCTCATCTTGTCTCTGTGTAATCTCAGGATGGAGACGGTGTGTGGGACGGTGGTGAAGAGAATTGAACTGGAGAAGAAGATGAGCTTGCTCAAGGTGTGTCTCTCTTACAGGGCGGATGTTTGGCTTCAATAACACATCATAGTTGAATAGACCTTACAGTGGGAAATATGGGTGGTATGCACTGTGCAGTACCACATAACCCCACCCAAACAAAGGAGTACACATGACAAAACTATAGACCGGTTCTATATAGCTATTTATAAACTGGGTGGTTCAAGTCCTAAAGACTGATTGGCTGAAAGCCATGGTATATCAGACCGTATACCACGGGTATGACAAAACATTACTTTTTACTGTTCTAATTACGTTGGTAACCAGTTTATAATAGCAATAAGGCACCTCGGGGGTTTGTGGTATATGGCCAATATACTGTACCACACGGCTAAGGGCTGGATCCAGGCACTACACAATTCCATGCACTAATCCTACTGTAGATGAATTGGGTCACAGGGAAACACACCATTATAAAGGTTAAGTTAAGTACTGCATAGCTGACCTCAATCATGTCTAATGTATAGCTGAGTCAATCATGTTTAATTGTTATATCATTCTGTTTTTTGTCCACACAGCATACCCTGGGAGAGAAATGGGGGGAGTTACAAGCGCTCACATTACAGGAAAAACGCCTTACGCGAGGTGAGGCGTTTTGCCCAGCTGTGAAACCACAGAACTTCCTGTCTCATTAGTTGATGTGAAAATGACAAGTAAACGCTGAGGTGCATTAACGAGCTCCGTTTACAGTCATTGTGACGCATTAACTGAGAAGTAATTGATCTACAAATGTCCTGTCAATCAACCACATCCTTTACAGTGCACATTAATACTGTGGTTGGAGAAGTCAACTAACTGCCCTTCCCTTGTCTCCAGGTAACCTGAATGACAGTTCTCTACACCCCTCTATGGACTCCCTGATGTCTCTATTGTCTCCGTCTGGACACAGTGACCACTACGGCCACCGTTTCTCCAGTGACAGTAGCTGCCGGAGTGGGATGATGGATGACAGTGACCTGGCCAGTGTGTTTGGGGACCTGAGCTCTCCCAGCCCCTGCAATGTGGCCAGTCCAGATGATAGCTGCTTCTTCTCCACAGACTTCCCCCAGGAAATGCCCAGGGCCCCAGCCAGCCTCAGCCTCAACCGTACCCGCAGCGGTAGCGGTAGCTTGGCTGGCAGCAGTGGCTCCCTCTCCTCCCCCTCCCCTTCTTGGGACCCCTCCAGAGCCTCCTCCCTGTTCGGGACACTCCCCAGGAAGGCTAGGAGAGCCAGCTTCCGCAAACACATCCTGAAGTTCATCCCTGGATTCAACCACTCAGTGGAGGAGGAGGACACCTGACCTGAGTTATGAACGAACACTACAGTACATCTGTGTCTGATGTGATGTTCGATACAAACATTTCCTGCTGAGACTGAGGCATTGCTAATATGGCCACCGTACCCTTGGCTCAGGATTAGCCAATCAATGAGCATTATTGGGATGAGAAGCATTAGGAGGAAAAGAGAAATCTCCCTTTGACAAAGGCCTTCAGTTATCTCTAGATACTGTATACATGATGGAGTGCTTTTGTTACTGCTGCACAATATTCTGCTGATTTTTTCTTGACAATAGTCATAATGAGACAACAGCATTAATCCTTATAACAGTAACAATTATTTGTAATAAAGAACACGGGAACTCAGTCCATGTGTGTGCAGCCAGTGCAACAAAGATTGTGCTTGCCATTTCTAGAATGTTAATGTGACCATTGTATGTAGGTGATAACTGAGAGACTGCATGAAAAGGCATGATCTTCCTGAATTCAACATATTGCTTGTATATAACTTGAGAAGTGTTATGCTTTGCATATTTGATGCATGCAATGAAAGAAGTTCTCAGCAACAGTCTGTCAGGTTTGTCTCAAAAGAACGAGTTCTAAACCAGGTAGCTAACTGCACAATTCAAAACAGGATGTGGGCAGAGAAGGAGCTACATTCTTGACTATTTTCATACCCATAACCAAGTTTCAGGTTATCTACAACTTACTTTCAGTATTGATAGTTATACTACAAATAAGAACTGTGTTTCCTCTAACTCATGGCATTTTAACAGAGTGCCATTGAACTCAATTGTTTTGAATTCATGCTTGATGTGTGCCATTTGCTGCTTTTATTAAGAATCAAAGATATGTTTGAAATTCCCTGAAGACAAGTGACTGTAAAATTGTACACAAATAAACAGTGTATAGTTGGTTCCTAAACTGTCACTATTTACATACTGTCTTCTTCTATTGTTTAAGTACATCAATGTGAGAGTGACATTTTTTCTGATATTTCTTCCACTGATTAACATCCACTAGATGGCATTGCAAGCATTTTAAAATGCTTAGGATTTTGAATTATATCAGAACATACAGTACAATGCCACACTGTAAAAGGAGAATGAAATTGAGGTTCACAATATCTTGCCAAATGTGATGTCAATAGTGTCCAGATGGCTTATTTTAGGACCAGCAGTGGGGTTCTGAAACTCAGTGAGGCGGCAGGTAGCCTGGTGGTTAAGAGCGTTGGGCCAGTAACCAAAAGGTTGCTGGTTCGAATTCCCAAGCTGACTAGGTGAAACATCTTTCATTGTGCCCTTGAGCAAGGCACTTAACAGCGACTTACAAGAGCAACTAGGGTTGATTAGAGCGTCTGCAAAATGCAAGTAGGACAGTTAAAGGAAATGTACATTCAGTACTGTTGACCTACACCAGTAGATTGAAATCTCAAAGCACAACATTGGGGCACTCCATGCTTATTCTTCCAGACAAGGGGAGAAAGTCTAAGACCAAGGGAGACCTGATTTACCCCTTAATAAAAACACGATGGTGTTCTCCGTTTTGCACTACGACCCTTCCTTTCTCTTACGTTCTCTTGGAGTCAAATGAGTAGAAGACAGTAAACAAAGAAGAGAGCTGCTAAAAGAGAGAAGGAGGGAGGGACTGAGACAGACAGAGCATACAGTATGGAACATTTAGCATCTCTTTATACAGTCACAGCTATATTATATAATATATCCCATTTAGCAGACGCTTTTATAGAAAGCGACTTACTGTCATTCGTGATATGATGCAACTTAGCCAGCAACGGTAGGTGTTCTTGTTGCCATCTCTTAAGGAACCCTTAAGCATGCAACATGTGCACTCTTTACTCTGTAGCTTACCCTGCTTTACACAAGTAAACCTACAGGAGAATGTTAATCTAGTCTCAGAATGTCACAGGGAGAAGGTGGTCACTCAGGATGGATTAAACTAAACAATCAGTACAATCAGTTCACTTGTCCAAGTCACACAGACAAAGAACCATTTATTGGCCCAACACAAAACCTCTGTTCTTCATTGGCTCAAACATGCTTAAAGAATTATTACATCGCACACTAGTACAAAAGACAGCTCGGCCTCACATCATTGATTAAAATGCAGGATGGTACTCTCCCTTACTATCCAGCGGGATAACTCGGACTGAGAATTAGTATTTTGATTGGACGACTGGAATGGATGACCGCATTGGCTGGCTGAAGAAGCACAAACTGTCTGGCAACTGATACGACAAATGCTCTACAGGATAAACAAAAGAGGTGGACAATTGACGACGTCAGAGAAGTCTGATTATTTCAACACCACAAAGGGGGTCAAAAAACTATTTTGAACAAACAATTAACATGGACAGAGAAGAGAGCATTCCTCCTTCACTGGACCTGGAAGTGGATGGGATGGAGGGGAATATGAACAGGGTGGCATCCCAGGTGGTGGAGATCATCAGTGGGATGAGTCTGGGAGCCATCCAGTCTCTGGAGCAGGCTGTGGAGAGAGCTATGGAGGAGGAGGGAGATGACTCTGTGTTCTATGATGAGGGTGATGCTCCATTAGATTGGGAAGGAAGGTCTTGTCCCTTGGTCTGTGGTTCCACAGAGAAATCAGCTCAACCACAGAATGGGAAGGTGAGCCTACTCAAGGCTGAGACAGCCGGTGTAGTCATGGAGAATGGGATGAATGGAACAGGGAAAGATCCCATTACTGATGGAGGAGACACTCGTAGCTCTGCCCTTTCGGATAAGGGTGATACTGGGTCACTTCAGCACACCAACAGTGCCCTAACTGAGCCCCAGACATCGACAGCCCAAACAGAAACATTGGCAGAAATCCCAACTCAAACACTTGCAGAGCCCCAAAAACATCCAGTGCAGGACACATTGACGAACAAAGGTAAGACAATCTGCATTATACTGAGAATTATTGTATAGAATAAAGCAAAATTGTCAGTATCGATAATCCGGTGCATTCGTTCCACAATGTTGGTACAGTGAGGGAAAAAAGTATTTGATCCCCTTCTGATTTTGTACGTTTGCCCACTGACAAAGAAATGATCAGTCTATAATTTTAATGGTAGGTTTATTTGAACAGTGAGAGACAGAATAACAACAACAAAATCCAGAAAAACCCATGTCAAAAATGTTATAAATTGATTTGCATTTTAATGAGGGAAATAAGTATTTGACCCCCTCTCAATCAGAAAGATTTCTGGCTCCCAGGTGTCTTTTATACAGGTAACGAGCTGAGATTAGGAGCACACTCTTAAAGGGAGTGCTCCTAATCTCAGTTTGTTACCTGTATAAAAGACACCTGTCCACAGAAGCAATCAATCAATCAGATTCAAAACCCTCCACCATGGCCAAGACCAAAGAGCTCTCCAAGGATGTCAGGGACAAGATTGTAGACCTACACAAGGCTGGAATGGGCTACAAGATCATCGCCAAGCAGCTTGGTGAGAAGGTGACAACAGTTGGTGCGATTATTCGCAAATGGAACAAACACAAAATAACTGTCAATCTCCCTTGGCCTGGAGCTCCATGCAAGATCTCATTTCGTGGAGTTGCAATGCAATGATCATGAGAACGGTGAGGAATCAGCCCAGAACTACACGGGAGGATCTTGTCAATGATCTCAAGGCAGCTGGGACCATAGTCACCAAGAAAACAATTGGTAACACACTACGCCGTGAAGGACTGAAATCCTGCAGCGCCCGCAATGTCCCCCTGCTCAAGAAAGCACATATACAGGGCCGTCTGAAGTTTGCCAATGAACATCTGAATGATTCAGAGGAGAACTGGGTGAAAGTGTTGTGGTCAGATGAGACCAAATCGAGCTCTTTGGCATCAACTCAACTCGCCGTGTTTGGAGGAGGAGGAATGCTGCCTATGACCCCAAGAACACCATCTCCACCGTCAAACATGGAGGTGGAAACATTATGCTTTGGGAGTGTTTTTCTGCTAAGGGGACAGGACAACTTCACCGCATCAAAGGGACGATGAACGGGGCCATGTACCGTCAAATCTTGGGTGAGAACCTCCTTCCCTCAGCCAGGGCATTGAAAATGGGTCGTGGATGGGTATTCCAGCATGACAATGACCCAAAACACACGGCCAAGGCAACAAAGGAGTGGCTCAAGAAGAAGCACATTAAGGTCCTGGAGTGGCCTAGCCAGTCTCCAGACCTTAATCCCATACTGTGGAGGGAGCTGAAGGTTCGAGTTGCCAAACGTCAGCCTCGAAACCTTAATGACTTGGAGAAGATCTGCAAAGAGGAGTGGAACAAAATCCCTCCTGTGATATGTGCAAACCTGGTGGCCAACTACAAGAAACGTCTGACCTCTGATTGCCAACAAGGGTTTTGCCACCAAGTACTAAGTCATGTTTTGCAGAGGGGTCAAATACTTATTTCCCTCATTAAAATGCAAATCAATTTATAACATTTTTGACATGCGTTTTTCTGGATTTGTTTGTTGTTATTCTGTCTCTCACTGTTCAAATAAACCTACCATTAAAATTATAGACTGATCATGTCTTTGTCAGTGGGCAAACATACAAAATCAGCAGGTGATCAAATACTTTTTTCCCCTCACTGTAAATCACCATATAACCAGATTTATAAGCAGATTTTATATTATTTAGTACACTACAATGAGAGAAAACTCAGAATATTAAATTGTTCTGAGAACAAGGGACATAAATGTGTACTTTTGCATTTAAGCTTCTGCTGCACACAAGATGGAGGTGAAAGATACACAGGAGCAGGCACCTGTTACTACACCCCTGTCTGTACCTGAGGAGGAGGCTCAGTTGAACAGGGAGGCAGAGGCCCCATGCTCCTCTGGTGACGAGCCCAACAGTGTGAGTCAGGATGAGGAGGACACAGACAAAGGTTCCCAGGATTCCCTGGCCTGTCAGGGTACAAGTTCCAAGTCCTCAGAAGGACAGAAGTCTGGCCGGCCCCGTCGTAAGAAATCCTCCGACCACAACACCAGCTCCAAATATAGCACTGTCTCCTACAGGAAGATACGCAAAGGTAACACTCGTCAGAAGATCGATGAGTTTGAGTCCAGGATGATGAATCTATAACATTACATCAAGTTAATATCTGGAAGATGCTGCAGCTTTACTTCAACTGCAAGGAGCTGGATGGGGCATGCTAAACCAGTCGCTATGCAAATTGGAATAACGATAACCTGTTATCATTGGTTGCGTCTGTCTAATACACAATCCTAATAGATTTTGAGTTTAACATATTTCAAATATTGACATTTTACTGTAATGTTATGTCCCTACTGAAGCCAAAAGAATGATCGACATGTAAAAAGTATGCGTTTTCACACACTTGAAATGACTACTGATAGGAGCTCAATATGCATAGTAGTATTGTAACATAATGGATCGAAAATAATTTGTTAAATATAATCCCCAGAATTAAAGTTATTTCATTTGAAAATAATAGTGGGGAACATTTGATTATGTAAGGCAGGTATTTGATTAGCAGATAAAAAAACGAGGCTTGGGGACCTAGTAATCCTTCTAGCAAACATTAAGACTTGCATTCCCAGGGGCCCCTGGCCTGTAAAGATTTCAATACACTTCGGTAAGCACTGCAAGTATGAATTTCAGGTGATCAACCCTATATGTGAAGTTCTGCTATTTAAATACAGTGGGGGAAAAAAGTATTTAGTCAGCCACCAATTGTGCAAGTTCTCCCACTTAAAAAGATGAGAGAGGCCTGTAATTTTCATCATAGGTACACGTCAACTATGACAGACAAAATGAGAATTTTTTTCTCCAGAAAATCACATTGTAGGATTTTTTATGTATTTATTTGCAAATTATGGTGGAAAATAAGTATTTGGTCAATAACAAAAGTTTCTCAATACTTTGTTATATACCCTTTGTTGGCAATGACACAGGTCAAACGTTTTCTGTAAGTCTTCACAAGGTTTTCACACACTGTTGCTGGTATTTTGGCCCATTCCTCCATGCAGATCTCCTCTAGAGCAGTGATGTTTTGGGGCTGTCACTGAGCAACACGGACTTTCAACTCCCTCCAAAGATTTTCTATGGGGTTGAGATCTGGAGACTGGCTAGGCCACTCCAGGACCTTGAAATGGTTCTTACGAAGCCACTCCTTCGTTGCCCGGACGGTGTGTTTGGGATCATTGTCATGCTGAAAGACCCAGCCACGTTTCATCTTCAATGCCCTTGCTGATGGAAGGAGGTTTTCACTCAAAATCTCACGATACATGGCCCCATTCATTCTTTCCTTTACACGGATCAGTCATCCTGTTCCCTTTGCAGAAAAACAGCCCCAAAGCATGATGTTTCCACCCCCATGCTTCACAGTAGGTATGGTGTTCTTTGGATGAAAACTCAGCATTCTTTGTCCTCCAAACACGACGAGTTGAGTTTTTACCAAAAAGTTATATTTTGGTTTCATCTGACCATATGACATTCTCCCAATCCTCTTCTGGATCATCCAAATGCACTCTAGCAAACTTCAGACGGGCCTGGACATGTACTGGCTTAAGCAGGGGGACACGTCTGGCACTGCAGGATTTGAGTCCCTGGCGGCGTAGTGTGTTACTGATGGTAGGCTTTGTTACTTTGGTCCCAGCTCTCTGCAGGTCATTCACTAGGTCCCCCCGTGTGGTTCTGGGATTTTTGCTCACCGTTCTTGTAATCATTTTGACCCCACAGGGTGAGATCTTGCGTGGAGTCCCAGATCGAGGGAGATTATCAGTAGTCTTGTATGTCTTCCATTTCCTAATAATTGCTCCCACAGTTGATTTCTTCAAACCAAGCTGCTTACCTATTGCAGATTCAGTCTTCCCAGCCTGGTGCAGGTCTACAATTTTGTTTCTGGTGTCCTTTGACAGCTCTTTGGTCTTGGCCATAGTGGAGTTTGAAGTGTGACTGTTTGAGGTTGTGGACAGGTGTCTTTTATACTGATAACAAGTTCAAACAGGTGCCATTAATACAGGTAATGAGTGGAGGACAGAGGAGCCTCTTAAAGAAGAAGCTACAGGTCTGTGAGAGCCAGAAATCTTGCTTGTTTGTAGGTGACCAAATACTTATTTTCCACCATAATTTGCAAATAAATTCATTTAAAAAATCCTACAATGTGATTTTCTGGATTTTCTTTTCTCAATTTGTCTGTCATAGTTGACGTGTACCTATGATGAAAATTACAGGCCTCTCATCTTTTTAAGTGGGAGAACTTGCACAATTGGTGGCTGACTAAATACTTTTTTCCCCACTGTATATATACACACAGTAGTTCACGTTAGGCTATAAGAACTGAACCAACTAATAAAAGGTTAACCCCTAAAACTCTGTAACAGACATACCTTTCCATACTGTAATATTTCCATGAGTACAGTGAAGAGTGTACATGTTCTCGTGAAATATCTGTTGCATAAAAGTGGAAAAAGAAAACCGAATAAAATGATCATCTTTAATATCTATTAATTAAAGGAAATTAACATTGTGAGTTTGGAGAAAGAAAATCACATTGTTCATCTTTGGCATCAACAGTCCCCAATATTGTTAAATAAATGTGCATACAGTATGTACTAAACCTGCAAGCATATAGTAAAAAACAAGCAGCTCTTATTATACCAGGTGAGCCATAAGGTGTAGGGTGAAGTTGCCCCTAGACACTGATCTTGGGTCAGTTTAAAATGTTCCCCACAATCGTTGAGGTTAGGATTTGGGGAGGGGATGTTGATACTAGATCTGTAACTAGGGGAAACTTCAACCCGGAGCTGACTCATAACAATGCAATTCTATTTTATCTCAATAAAGAAATGTCAGATAGCTTCGCTAAAGACATCTGTGATATGTAATGCCTACACAGGCTCATGCACACTGCATGCAATTCAATTTGTACATCAAATGGTATTTCAAACAGTGAAAACGGTACATGGACAGAACAGACGTATTTACATGAACTCAAAGTGCCATAAAATATCCTGCCATTTGGCACCGAAACAGTAAGAAATATGGTCAATTGTGCGGTGAAATGGAGTGTTAAAATATGGAGGACATCTGCAGAAAATAATATTTGGTACAAGTCCTCATGTAAATAATCAAGGCACATTCGTGATTGATTTGCCAAGGCATGATAATTCTTTTTTTGCAAATCTGGTGAACATGCATGTAAAACCAAAGATCTCAATAAAAAGTGAAACACCAGTACACTATTGAAAAGCATGAGCTGGTACACACACCCAAAAAAGTTAGTAGAGGTGCTGACTAATGGCGAGAAAACTGTAGGCTATAAAACTAAAGAGAGTCACACCCTCTATTTACAAGCTCACAGTAATTTGAGTAAACCACAGAGCTTATATATATATTATTTGTATAGACTACATCAGTAAACTATGCCACCAAATACAACACCGTAATTACATTGTGTAATAGCTGCCCTTTCAAATCATTCCGGGGCCTCAGTCATGCAAAATTCAAATTCCAAGTGAAGGTTGATCATGATAAAAAGAAGAGAAAAATAACATTGCACATCCCAACACCACCCTTACGCCAACATACTAGCAGCACCATGCATATCCTATTGCAGAAATACACTGACCACATCCAAATGCATATAGTACAGTCAAGTACTTGAGTGTCAATCTCTAATGTAGGAACAGTGCTGTAGCCCTGTACTCCCATCACACAGTGTGGTAGTGTGTGAACTGCCACTTCTGGTAGGGACTGGTAGGCTCGCACTCCTTCAGCTGTATGCTGTCATCCAGAGCCCCAGCCTCCAGGCACATACGCCGGGGAGTATGCTCCGCTATGAGGTGCTCCACCTGAGCAAAGAGAACACAGGGAAATACTACCGAATCACCATGTGCATTATGGTAACTTTCATCCAGCAACTGAAAGGAACACTGCTGCTACCTCCCACTCCAACCAAGGTGTTGTGAATTGATGTACGAACCATGATGTAAGCTACAGTCCGAAAGGGGTTGGTTTTATCAATAAAGAAGCAGTTCTCAACTTCCACTATCCTCCCAAGAGTTTGGCTTGGCTCTCTCTCAAAACCAATATTCAGAAAACAACTATAGGAGAGGAGGTGAAGGCCCCCCATTGTAAAGCGAACCTACCAGAGCGGAGTTGGAGGCCTTGTGGAGCCAGCGTAGCTGTGGCTTGGTGTTGTCACATGGCTGCAGAGCCAGACTGGTCCCTTTGCCCTGAGCAGTGACACAGACATCATTCTGGCGAACGTGCCTCATCCAGGTGTAATTGAAGTGTTGACTCTAAGGTTTAGGGACAGAGTGGAGAGTTAAGAGTGCCATTTGGGATGCAGTCTATTACCTATATAGTGCATCTATGGAATAGGGTGTAATTTGGGACGCATCCTTAGTGTCGGACATAGAATTAGACTTCATGATAACTATGGGGTTTAAGACTGTTTGGGTGTGTGTTGAATTAAACAGGAATTCCATAGTGAGCACACATCTGGAGCTATGCAATGTGTTATAGGCATAAAAAAATGCATTTCATATCAAATGGGGAAGTATTTACCAGCTTGCTGAGATTACATTTCTCAAAGGCAAGGGAGCCTTTCTGCAGAGCGAGGCATTTTCTGACTCCACGATTGAAAACCTAGCAAAGGAGGATCACAGGTATAACATTACATGACAATGCCTAGAGCAGTCATAACATTTGCTTCCATGGGTAGTGTCACCGCGCGATATTGACAGTAGAAAGGCTTCTCCTTTTTTTCCCATTCTGTGCCTTCAACCAATGCTGACAGAGAACTGTCACAAGCCTGAAGAGACAGTCACTCTTTGTTCAGATAAGAGGACAATTGACATCTCTGTCTGCGTTGCAGAGGCATTGAGAGGAGACAAGAAAACATCCCCCCCAGAAGAAAAGTACATTTGTCTTTCAGCATCAAGATGAGGGATAATTTAATGGAAAAATAAACAAAGTAAGAGTAACAATTGTTTGGCAGAAAAAGAGCACCAATGCAATATATTCTAAGCTAAACAGCCTAAAAGCAAAAACTGTATTCCTGCTGATTAATAAATCAATCAGTCAATCAATAAAGACAATGATTATAAGTGTGTCAAATGTAGTTATAAACTGCAGCAATAAGGTGCATACTATGTAAACGCTTTTAGCTTCTGAAAAAGCACCATATACTGTAAATCCAATCAAGACTATTATTTATTAATATTAAAAAGTACACCTACCAGCCCCTCAGCTTTGACCAGCGGAGCGACCATGTCTGGGTACACGTTATCCAGGTACCATTTGAAGCTCTTGCACTCAAGCTTCTTCCTGAGTTCGATCTGGTCTGTGAGGTTGCCGATGTCGATGAAACTCCTATCCAGCAGATGGAGGTATCCATGGCCGTAGAACAGGTCTTTGTACTCATCCAGCCACACCTCTGCCACCCTAGCCAAGTTACGCTCAACCGTCTTCTGCCTGTCCTTGGGAAAGTTGTACGGGTTCTCGCCTCGGAAAATATGGCCCACTCGGGAACACGGGATGATCTCGATCTCACCTCCACACATCCAAATCTGCAAAATCAACATTATAGGGTGTGATCAGACCATTTGAGATGCATCCCAAATGGCACCCTATTTTTGCTCATAGGGCTCAGGTTGAAAGTAGTGCACTATATAGGGAATAGGATGCCATTTGCGAAGCAGCCTGGGCCTTGATCATGAGTCAGAGATAAGGGCAGTTAACTGTGTAATCATAGAACAGGTTGTCAAATAACAAACCTCTTATTGAAATGGATCTGCAAACAGTCTAACCCTAACCCTAACCCTAAAGAGGGGAAAATGAGACAAAATTACTAGAGCTGGGACGATAAACCGACAATTACCGACCACTTATCAATCATTCATTACAATAAGTAGCCTATACTAGAGAAATGTGAAATAAGTTTGCTAATATGGGTGATTGTTAATGGGATAATTGATTAGTATTAGTAGTAGTAGTAGTAGTAGTAGTAGTAGTAGTAGTAGTAGTTTAAAGCAGGATTTCCCAAACTCGGTCCTGGGGCCCCCCTGGGTACACGTTGTGTTTTTTGCCCAAGCACTACACAGCTGATTAAAATAATCAAAGCTTGATGATGAGGGGGGGGTGAACACTGGTTTAAGAAACCCTGGTTTAAAGGATCTTTTTTTTTTTTTTTTTACTGTGGTGCACATTAATGTTATAAACGTATTGTTCTAGTTATCGTACCAATTCAGGCAATTTATCATAATATGGATTTTTGTCCATATCGCCCAGCTCTACAGTCGTGGTCAAAAGTTTTGAGAATGACACAAATACTAATTTTCACAAAGTCTGCTGCCTTAGTTTTGATTATGGCAATTTGCATATACTCCAGAGTGTCATATGAAGAGTGATCAGATGAATTGCAATTAATTGCAAAGTCCCTCTTTGCCCTGAAAATGAACTTAATCCCCAGAAAACATTTCCACTGCATTTCAGCCCTGCCACAAAAGGACCAGCTGCCATCATGTCAGTGATTCTCTCGTTAACACAGGTGAGAGTGTTGACGAGGACAAGGCTGGAGATCACTCTGTCATGCTGATTGAGTTAGAATAACAGACTGGAAGCTTTAAAAGGAGGGTGGTGCTTGAAATCATTGTTCTTCCTCTGTTAACCATGGTTACCTGCAAGAAAACACGTGACGTCATCATTGCTTTGCACAAAAAGGGCTTCACAGGCAAGGATATTGCTGCTAGTAAGATTGCACCTAAATCAACCATTTATCGGATCATCAAGAACTTCAAGCAGAGAGGTTCAATTGTTGTGAAGAAGGCGTCAGGGCGCCCAAGAAAGTCCAGCAAGCGCCAGGACCGTCTCCTAAAGTTGATTCAGCTGCGGGATCGGGGCACCACCAGTGCAGAGCTTGCTCAGGAATGGCAGCAGGCAGGTGTGAGTGCATCTGCACGCACAGTGAGGCGAAGACTTTTGGAGGATGGCCTGGTGTCAAGAAGGGCAGCGAGGAAGCCACTTCTCTCCATGAAAAACATCAGGGACAGACTGATATTCTGCAAAAGGTACAGGGATTGGACTGCTGAGGACTGGGGTAGTCATTTTCTCTGATGAATCCCCTTTCCAATTGTTTGGGGCATCCGGAAAACACCTTGTCCGGAGAAGACAAGGTGAGCGCTACCATCAGTCCTGTGTCATGCCAACAGTAAAGCATCCTGAGACCATTCATGTGTGGGGTTGCTTCTCAGCCAAGGGAGTGGGCTCACTCACAATTTTGCCTAAGAACACAGCCATGAATAAAGAATGGTACCAACACATCCTCCGAGAGCAACTTCTCCCAACCATCCAAGAACAGTTTGGTGACGACCAATGCCTTTTCCAGCATAATGGGGCACCTTACCATAAGGCAAAAGTGATAACTAAGTGGCTCGGGGAACAAAACATCAAAATGTTGGGTCCATGGCCAGGAAACTCCCCATTGAGAACTTGTGGTCGATCCTCAAGAGGCGGGTGGACAAACAAAAACCCATAAATTCTGACAAACTCCAAGCATTGATTATGCAAGAATGGGCTGCCATCAGTCAGGATGTGGCCCAGAAGTTAATTGACAGCATGCCAGGGCAGATTGCAGAGGTCTTGAAAAAGAAGGGTCAACACTGCAAATATTGACTCTTTGCATAAACTTAATCTAATTGTCAATAAAAGCTTTTTACACTTATGGAATGCTTGTAATTATACTTCAGTATACCATAGTAACATCTGACAAAAATATCTCATAACACTGAAGCAGCGAACTTTGTGAAGACCAATACTTGTGTCATTCTCAAAACTTTCGACCACGACTATACAACTTACCTTAAAAGAGATCTCCATGTTCTCTCCACCCCATACGTCCAGGCCAGGATCATAAGAGCCCAGTTCATAGAAGTACTTCTTATCGATGGAGAAAAGGCCTCCTGCCATGACGGGACATCTGAGGAACAAAACACACAGTCCAGGGTCATATTCATTAGACACAAAACGGAAGAAAATGACTGAAACAGGGAAGGTCTACCTGAACATGTCCAATAAGAAATGCTTGTTTTCGTTTTCTGTTGCAAAACATTTTGCTACAGTGTGCACTAATGAATACAACCCAGTTAGCGCGTAAAGATTGTATTCTTCACTTCCTCACAAACAACATTCCTCCATGGTCTTATCAACTCTCACAGAGGAATCAGGATATGAGTCAGACCTTGGCCCTGTTGGAATACTTCCATCCTGCATCCTTCCTTCCTTTAAGTAATCTCTGATCTCTATTGGTTGGATTGGTGAAAGTAATAAGTTGGCGTAACCTAGCTTTGATCTATCCAGTCACGTATAGATCGATGATTACCTCAAGGAAATGAGGAAGGAAGAATACATTCGTGAAGTTTTGGAACAGGGCCCTTATGTTGTTGAACTCATCTGCAACTAATAACGAGGGGTGTAATGAAATACAGCATTACCTGATAGGATCTGAATCCTTCATGTGATTCTTCTTGATGGTGTCCTCTGATAACGTGCTCCACCCAAACACCAAGGGCCATTTGAACACCCCTCTTTGGAAGTTGTCAACCAACACATAGCTGTAAAAACACAAAACATCATTAACCAAATATTACATTACTGGATGAATAATGCATGATTAAATGCACAAAACTCAGATGAATCTGATTAAATCACACAGGAGCCTGAAATCAACATTACAAAGACTGACTTCCAGTAAACAGGATGTTGCATCAAACCTGGCTGTATAAAAAAAAAGCTGAGAAAACTCTAGGGTTATCAGTTTTTTTTACACCAATACAGGTAATTCCAATATGAACCCTTAAGGTCAAAGGTCTGTTGACTAAATAGTCAGAAAATGTGTCAGATGGATAGCTGTGAATCTAAGCTTTCTAATTATATATTATGTGTAGGTAACACACAGAAAGCTACCATTGCTGTCACACATTTTGCAACACTAGGGACAGTCAGCTAAGTGAGCGTCGTCCGAGCCAGAACGGCCCACTCTAGGTGCATAGACCTTCAGAAATATCACTATGAGACATTGTGCCCCCACAGGGTACCGACAGACCAAATTTGGACAATAAGGTTGATTAATAACTCAAACTAGAACTGGGACCATAAACCGAAAATGATCAACACTGACCGAACCGACTACTTCGAGGACATTTTACACATATCAATAATTACGATAAGCAGCCTACACTAGAGAAAATGTTAAGTTTTAACTGGAATAAGGCTGATACTATGGGCTATTGCTAAATGGGACAATTGATAGCTACAGCATTCAAAGTAATGTAAAAAAGTAACTGATGCACATTAATGTTATTCATTTATCATTCAACTTATCATTAGTTATCTGATAATTCAGTCAATTTATCGTGATATGCATTTTTGTCCATATCGCCCAGGAGGTGTCCCAAATGGTACCCTAGTCCCTATATAGTGCACTACTTTTGACCTGGGCCAATGGGGCTCTGGAATGCAGGCATAATGTATAATGGTAATAACACATTACCTCATATCCTTGTCACTGATGACTTCGATGACTGGACAGGCCACTTTCCTCCTATCCATGTACACTCTCTCCAGCAGAGGTTCCAGCCAGCCCACATTGCATTCGATATGTGAGTCAAGAAAGGTCAAAACGTCACCTGAGAGAAATGCAAACAAACCCGCTGAAGACAAACACAAAACCACAGGGACGCTTGACTGCCACATGTATGGGAGGACAGGATTGAGATTTTTTTGCATAGGATATTTTGTTTATACAGCAAACAATGAAAGAAAAAGTGGTGACAGCAGGATGTGGTCGGTTACCTTTGGCAATGGCGGCTCCTGCAAGCCTAGCTCGGATCAGGCCCTGCCTCTCCTTCAGACGGACGATCCGCACTTTGGGATACTGGGACATATACACATCCAGATGGTCCTTGAGATATTCTGAGACAGTGGATGAGAGCAAGTAAGCTTAGGGCCCTGAGTTTATCCTCCCGACCATGAAACCTGACCAGGAAAAACTCCAGGCCCTAATTGTAAGCTATAAGTAATTTGGGCACAGAGTGACATCACCTGTTCAGGAAAAACTCTTAAGATGTCTCCAAGATTAATAAAGTTAATATTCAGTTTATAGCGATTAAAGAGATTGAACAGGATTTTGAAAACTACGTCTGTATTTTTTTAAACCTTATGTTTTGGACTCCACGTGTCAATGTACGGCATAATACAACATCTGTAATCTTCACCTGGCGGAGAAAGCCACGCAATCCTTACATTCAATACTTTCAATATTTTTTTCATGTGAGTTGCACGCTCGTCCCTTTCATAGTGAAAGTACTTACAAATTCGTATCATATTGTACAAATTGGAAATCGTAACATGTCATACGAATTGCTGGACGCAACATATCATACGAAATGGATGACGTACACAATTGTGCTCCATTTTCAGGGACTTGTTTTGGCTTGTGAGCACTACTTTCAAAACTACTGGCTGAAATTATACAAAACTGCATCACTTTAACACAAAGTTTAGCATATTTATATATTTTCCCTTCCTGTAATATACATAATTTCCAGTGTTCTGTTTGTGAAACTCAAGGTGCAGGTTGATGATCACTAGACTTGCTGAATGTTATGGATTATTCTCTGTAGTATCTGTTGTTAGTGATTGACACCAGACTGGAGGTACAAGGACTGAGAACACACTGATTTTATTGTACTTTATTTTAGTCACTGCCTTTTTTGTTATTGACTTCCTACACGCTTCTCAGGCTGGTGTTTACAGAACATTTGGTGCTGTCTGATTAGTATATAAAAGGGCCTGTCTCCAAGAGGCCAGTTAGACATTTGCTCTCCTTCTGTGCCGTAGGTGTCTACCTGTTGATTTTTGATTGACTAAATCTGTGACTGCTGTTCTCTATTGTTCACTTGGAAATTCCTATTACACCATCTGTACTGTTTACCAGGAAAGCCCCTCCCACAGACAACCCATTACATTTTATATATCTAAAAAATTCCATAGCCTTTGCCCATTCTTACCTTTGGTACTGAAGTCGTCCACTAGGATGATCTCTTTGAGAAGGTGTAGTGGAGACCGGTTGAGGACACTGTGGACAGACCGGAGCAAAGTGGACCACACCTCGTCCACAAAGCAGAAGATCACACTGGTGGTGGGCAAGTAATCATGGACCACACTCTCAGAACACCTGGAGAAAAACACAATGGCAAGAGAGGTTATTTAATACTAACCATTAGTATACCGTATGAGTGACAGTAGTGTGGGAGTGAGTGAGTATTAATGGTGTGGTCAAGCCAACTGTGTGACTCACGTATGAGGTCTGGTGTCTGGGATGGCTCTGTCCACAGGGATCTGGTCACTCAGGTACACGTTGAAATGGCCCTCGTTCCAACGGTTCCTCACCTCCTGCTCTTTGTCACTGGGCACCATGGCTGCTTGCCCAAATTGCCCAATTGCATTGGCATCTCTAGGCGCTTGGGTCATGTCTAATGCCAGCACTTTGTGGACGCCTGTGTTTCGAACAACTGTGGAGTTTGTGGGAACTCCTTGGAGTTTCAGCTTTGCTGTAGGTGGTAAGGACTCCTTTAGGGCATCAGCGTTACCTTTATCAAGCTCATTGATCCGTTTGTCCTCTTTGTTGACAACCACCTCTTTTCCTTTTAGTACATCCTTTTTGACAGGTTTAACTGTGGAGTCCACTGCAACTTTGTCTTTAATAAAGCTTTCTTGTTTGCCAGGCTCAAGTGAGTCTTTGACTTTCTCCTTTGTCTTGGAGTCAATATTTTCTTTGCCTTTTTGCACTATGCCTATATTTTGCTCTACATTCTCTCCTGTATTTTTTGAGGTAGGGGTTTCAACATGTTTTCCTTCCTGAACACCAGGTGGCACTTTGGTAAAGTTCGAGCCTACTGCTGCAGTGAATGCCACTTTCTTATCCCTCTCCGTAGGTCCTGCTTTCTTATCCTCTAGCACCAAGTCCACTGCCTTTTTTGACACATCTTTGACAGGCAAAGGATCTTTGACAGGTGCTTTCGTATTCAAAGGCACACTCAATTGTACTGTGACATGATGCACAACTTCGATTTGGTTATGCTTAAAGATGACAGCATTTCCATGTTCTAACTTTGGTTGGGCATTCCCCCCTTCTTGCTCATGCGAGTTTACTTTGTCCTTAAACTGTGGGTCATTTTTGACAGCGGGTCCTCGCTTTCTGTACACTTCAAGGACTTTCTTTTCATTCTGGAGTGGAGCTTTATTACCTGCCTCGTCCAGGTCTAAGTCTACTCTCTGTACTGGATTTTTAAACCCCCTATGCACTGACTTGGTACGTTTCGTGGCCTGCTGTCTGACAGCCTGCCTTTCCTTTACTACGCTTTCTTTTAAAAGTTGGCTGTTAACATCATTTAATGACAGGCGAAGCGCTGCCATATCGAACAGTAGCCAAATAATAGATGCAATGAAAACAAATGCAAGTACCCTCCCACTACCCCTAAAGTATTTCCTTATCTTTATCGCCCTCATTTTAGTAGGCCTAAATCTAGATATAATGTCACAATATCTTATTAATGCATGCGCGGGTCATAGCCTACTTATCAACCCCCATTCAACTTCGTTTCTTTACTTTGGGTAGTAGTAGTAGGCTATTGCCTGCGTGGCATTCCACGCCGAGAAGATTGCTTTGGCCAAACTTCTGTCGGAATCTTCTGTCAAATATCCTTCATTGAACTAGTATGCATTTTGAAGCAAAAACATTAAAACACAAACGCAACAATGTAACTTATCAGTAAAACTTACTTGTGAAATGCCATGCTGTCCATTTACTTCCCTAAATGTTACAATGTATCACAAGTAGTTTTTCCATGCGCTGTTCACTATTCTGGGAGTGCAATTATCTTGCATTTTGTTACTTGCCCTCTCCTAATGTCTTTGAATGAAAAGTGAAATCATATTTCCTTGAAGAGAATGCGAAGCCACAGACATCCATTCAATTCTTAGCCCTATTCTGTCGTGGAGGTACCTCCCGTCTACGACATATTTCAACTTTGCACTTTCAGAGCACACACAGTGATTGGACAGATAGCTTAATTGTATGCAAACTGTTTTAGCACACAGGAAAGGTGGCGTGGAAGAGGGTGTGGCCCAGTTCCGGCGTTATGGGCGGGCCTTAGGAGGCCTGGCCAGCCCTACCGTACCTCCTTGCCGGTCCAAATAAAATATTGAAATATTGATAATTTATTTGACCAAGACGCACGCGGACAGAAAGACGCATCAATCTCAGTTAAAGCATCCGAGTGAGCGAAACAGCGCCCCTCTGTCTCAGTATGTGTAGACCATGTATCTGATGCTATCTGTACCAAAAGTTTATGGCATATCATACTATTTCCGGCCAGACAGCATCAGATACATGGGCTACATAGGGGGGCGCTGTTTCGCTCGCTCGGTTGCTTTCTCCGGTAACATAGTTTCAGCAGAGAGGAAGAGGCGAAATGACAGGGCTCACTCTCGCCTAAATCTGTCCAGAAAAAGACAATGCGTTTTTATGTGCATAATATGCAGACCTAAACTTGTTGCCTGCCTTCCCGCCTTTGGGACAAAAAGTCCCATTGTTAGGGCGAGACATGAGCATCTCGTTATTATATACACTTCTCTGAAAAGGAAAGTTAGCGGGTGCACAGTGCACTGTTAGGATGCTGGATTCCCCTGAAGTAAATTACTTCACCATGGAGCATGACTAAGCCACAGAGTATCATTAGCTTCTTAAAAATGTGTTTTGCTGTGGATTGTTTCAAATCACAAGTGTGTAGACCTACGCCTATTTGGGAAGCCGCAATTTGGGTAGGGCTCTGTGGCAATAGGTCTAGCTGATTGAGTTGCGGCTGTCAGTGATGAGCATCTAAAATATGTGTGAAGTTAATGTGTCTTGAGTATAGTTTAAAATGTTGCAACAAGAAGAAGTGGAGGGGTGTGTGGCGAAGATATGGGGTGTCTCTCTCCAGAATGCATGCACTCACACTCTAAAAATTAGGGGTTCAACAAGGGTTCTGCTAAGATCCTCAAAGTTCTTCGAATAACCTTAGGTTTCTTGGCACTGAAAATTGCCCCCAAAAGGTTATTCCAAGAACCCCATAGGCGGTGGGGTTCATCGAGGAACCGCCTTAGTTGGTGGGGGTTCTTGCAGGAACCTAACTGCCCCAACTGACAGCAGGTGCAGGCACTTAACTCCTCAATTTAAGGTAAGGTTTGTCAATGTATGATCTAAATTGATATTGTTTTATGATGATACCATCTATCTTTTCATATTTGTCCAAATCTTTCTAAAACAGAAAATGGACACAATTCAATTAATATAAATCAACAAAGAGGTAAGAATATGTATGCTAAAAGAATATGTTGCAGGCTAGCTGTATTGGGTGCAGATTACTGATTACTGAACCAATGTCAATTGGTATTTGTATGTTATGCAGATCACATGTACCATCCTCCTCCCTTACTGTACCTCTTCAATTAAAATCCCATAGGCCTCTACATTATGGACAAGGTATGTGTATGAAAACCATTATCAAAACAGTTTTTTTCATTCACATTTACAGCAAAAACCAAGGTATGAATACTGTCGTGTGCATGTTTTGTTAAACATCTGTATAATTACTATTTTTTTGAATTCACAGACTTCACCCTCCCTACACCTCTGATGAATATAACAGGAAACCTGTTCGATCACCATGCACTGCAAAATCCTTCTGGCTATGGATATGGAGAACATCAACTCATTAACATCAACATGCCAGAGGATATACCCATTGGACTTCGGGCTCTGCTGGGAGTTTACCTCATATTTTTATTTTTTATTCTGCTTTGCCACTAAAATCATAATAAATACTGACAACAAAAAAATTGTGTTATTGTTATGCATTTTAATAATAATAATAGGGTGGGGGGGGGGGGGGGGTAGTTCAAAAATGAACCACAAAAGGTTTTTCAAAAGGTTCTTCGAGGATCCATTAAAAGGAGTTATTTGAAGAACTTATTGGGGTTCCCTCACAGTTTCAATTTGAAGAACCCCTAAAGGATCCAACCTTTACTTTTTAGAGTGCAAGAACCCTAAGGTTCTTCGAAGAACTTTGAGGATCTTAGAAGAACCCTTGTTGAACCCCTAATTTTTAGAGTGTACCACTATGTCAGCAGAGCTGACTTGAAGTGTCAGGTTTCACACCCTACATTTGCATAGGGAGTCACGTGTCACATTTTCTAGCCTATCCAGACACAGAATAGATTTGTCCTCCCTCTGAGCGACGGAGACAGTCTAGCGAATCTAGCAGCCGTGGTTTCATCTCGCTGTGATATAATACTGGTCACAGCGGGACTAAATAATTGATATCGTAAAGTTGAAGTTGTAAGGAGTCTACAGACATTCAAATAGTGGCGTGGCAGAAAATGCTCTGTACATTCTAAAAAGTAAAGGTTCCTGGAGGATCCTTTAGGGGTTCTTGAAATTGAAACTGTGGGGGAGCCCCTGTAAATTCTTTGAAGAACTCTTTAAAATGATTATTCAAAGAACCCCTTTTAATGGATCCTCGAATAACCTTTTGAAGAACCTTTTGGGGTTCATTTTTTAACTACGCCCCCCCGCCCCTATTAATATTATTATTAATAATATGCTTAACAATAACAACAATAGCACAATATTTTAGTTGTCAATGTTTATTATGATTTTAGTGGCAAAGCAGAATAAAAAAATAAAAATATGAGGTAAACTCCCAGCAGAGCCCGAAGTCCAATGGGTATATCCTCTGGCATGTTGATGTTAATGAGTTGATGTTCTCCATATCCATAGCCAGAATGATTTTGCAGTGCATGGTGATCGAGCAGGTTTCCTGTTATATTCATCAGAGGTGTAGGGAGGGTGATATCTGTGAATCCAAAAAATAGTAGTTATACAGACGATTAATAAAACATGCACACTACAGTATTCATACCTTGGTTTGTGTGGTAAATGTTAATGAAAAAAACTGTTTTAATAATGGTTTTCATACACATACCTTGTCCATAATGTAGAGGCCTATGGGATATTCATTGTAGAGGTAAGAGAGGATGATGGTATATCTGATCTGCATAACATACCAATACCAATTGACATACCTTTGTATGCCTCCTCGTCTGTATACCTACAGACACAGACACAAAAGTGAGCAGTTCAGTCATCTGCGCCCAATACAGCTAGCCTTCAACATATTCTTATAGCCTACAGTACATATTCTTACCTCTTTGTTGATTGATATCCATTGAATTGTGTCCATTTTCTGTTTTAGAAAGATTTGCACGAATATGAAAAGATGGATAGTGTCATCAGAAAACAATATCAATTTAGATCATACAAGGGAGTAGGGACAAACCTTACCTTAAATTGAGGAGATCTTTAAATGTTTCAGTTAAGTGCCTGCCGTTGCTGTCCTTTCAAATTCAAATCTAAATGTTTCAGTTGGGCAGTTAGGTTCCTGCAAGAACCCCCACCAACTAAGGAGGTTCCTCGATGAACCCCACCTCCTATGAGGTTATTGGAAGAACCCTTTGGGTGCAATTTTCAGTGCCAAGAACCCTAAGGTTCTTCGAAGAACTTTGAAGATCTTAGAAGAACCCCTGTTGAACCCCTAATTTTTAGTTAAATATGACTAAATATGATCATATATTTTTTAACAGTTCTAAAAAAGGATGAAATATTATAGTAAGTCGTTTATAATTTGATTGTTACTATATTTTGAAAGCATTTCAGTAATTTCAAGCCCTATTTCTTCACTTTTGTTGAATAGGAAAAAAAAATATATATATTTTTTATATTTTCATAATTTCTGTACTTGAGCTTGTGTCCTCAAAAGTGGGTACACCTAATACATCTATATCCATTTTTTTATCAGAAAGGTGATTTCTTTCTAGAACTATGCAGCATTACTAGTTATTGTTTATGTTTGTTCATGAAAAATAATGACTTTTGGGTATTATACATTTTGCCATATCGTTCAAAGGGGAGGCAACAACGGGTTTTCACGTCTTCAGCAGGCATCTCTTGGGAGCCCTATTGGGTCCATCCAGAACATTAAGTGTCACCAACATTTGGAGAGAGAGAGAGCGGGGAGGCAGGCGGGATGGGTGTTGTGATGTCTGCCCTGGTGCCTGCCCTTAGCAGGAGCGGACTGGGACAAGAATTCGGCCCTGGCATTTTTATCCACACCAGCCCACTTCACTGTATGTGCCACCAACCCCTCCCGAGGAAGTGGAAAGTCAAAACTCATGAACTAGATTGCTAACTCTAAATATAATAGGCTTCCCACTGCTAGTAGCCATGTATTCATCCAACAGTAAATGTAATGTCCCAAAAAAACTTTGCAGTTGTAGGATACTACCCAAGAGAGCTATAGGCCTATGCCCTCGCAATGGCCGGTGCGCATTTCGTGCCCTGCCGCTCCATATCTCAAAGCCATATCATATCTTTGTTGTAATATAGTTGCTATTGAGCTGAATATTGAGAGTTGAGAAAACATTTTTATACCTACAGAAAGCTGAGACAATACTCTCTTCGACAGCGACAAGGGGACGAAGCTTCCAAAGCTGTGTTTTTCCCGCAATTGCATTTAGAAATGTTATACGATCAGAACACATTTTTCTATTAAGCACATGGGGAGAAAGGAGAGTGGCTCGATCATCACAGCGAAACAGGCACAGGGCAGACACTTTCATTACAAGAATCATGAGGATAATGCACTTTACTGTTTGACCAAATCATGGTTTTAGCCGCCCCCAAAATAGGACAATGTGAGTGAGTTGACTATATAGAATGTGCTCTTTCTACATTGATAGGCACACTTCTTTTTACGATCCATGACCTTGGCTGTCTTACTGATGAGAG